TTTTTTTTTTTTTTTTTTTTTTTTTTTTTTTTTTTTTTTTTTTTTTTTTTTTTTGATCTATAACTTGAGCAACAAATTGGAATCTTGGTTTGTAATAATATAGAAAAGGAATTGGGTGCAATAGGCATGGTGTCATGGTGATATTTTTCAAGGCATTTTGCTTGTGGCCACACATGTATCATGCTAAATTCTTAAGTCTAGCTCACGTGGTATTACCTTATTATTTTCACAGACATAAAATACCTCAAAATGTGGTACAGAAAAATGCAAGTAGTCGTTAATTTAATCTACGAGAGAGAGAAAAAGCAAAGGTAATTGGAACGTTGAAAAGTGCGGTGAGAATAGAAAGATGGTAGCTATTCTACTCTGTTTTCGAAGCCTGTCACTAAAAAAATTGTGCATTTGTTTAGGCAGCTGACTTGTCTATTTGACCACGTACCTCGTTGGGGGTGAGCGGGACACTGTCTGCACTGCAACATTTATTATTATTTTCTTTTTATTTTGTTGTCAAACATACCAAAACCTCAACTTTAAATTCATTACACTTACAATCTCCTCTCTATGGATTATTAATAACTTCCAACCTTACCTTACTTCACAATTCACATCTTTGTAGTCCCTACGCCTGAAATCCCAGCACTGTTCAGGGTCTATCGTGTTAACAAGTGGGGCATTCATAATTTCTCGTTCTTCAAAATGTTGGCCTCTTCAAGTCTGGTTGCAAATTCACTTTTTCTGGCCCCAACCCATGATTAAAACATCTTTGGGACCTAATTCAATTATTTGAATTATAAATTTTTTGGATTGAATTATTTCATACTATTTAGTTATCTATTCAAAAAATAAAATATTAGTATAATCATTAAAACAATAATGAAATTGTATATATGTGTGTTGACCAACATATTTATATTTTCTATTCGAAATCTTTTCTTTCCTTCTGTTCAACTTAATTTAGTTTTATGAAAATCCATGTCATTTATTTGAATCTAACCCAACCTAAATAAGTAGTTTCGGGTGACTAAATTGTTTGAACACCCGTGTTGGGAGTGACGGTGTGGAAGGAAGAAATAAAAATAGATGGGTGATCTCATAAAACTTGAGAGCTTGTTTTAGAGAAGAATGGAGTATAAGACAAGAAAAAGAGAGGGGACCTTACCATAATTGTATTTAGGCAGCATTGGAGACCTAGTTTTGAGAAATTCAAGGAGTAAAAGAAATGAAATAGGAGGGGTCAATTAGCCCCACCTGTGGTTGACCAATAGAGAGAGCAGCCTGCAAGCTTCTTCTGATGAAATCTCTACTTTCCAAGCTCTTTTCTCCTCCCCTCCATGTCTAGGCCTGCATGCAACAATTAATGAATAACTCAAAAACTGTGACCACTCACTTCAATTCATCACCTCCACCAAAACAACTAAAAAGAAATGAGTTTTGATTTGAAAGTAAAGATGTTCTCCTTCAACTTACTCTTCTCTTTGAGTCTCCTAGTGTTCGTACCTGGCAGCAATGACATTCACATTCAAACAAGTTCAGTAGCTGAGTTTATCCAAGCTTTTCAGTGTTGCGAGTAAAAAACTTTCATCATAAAATATTATATTATATGTTCATTTTTAATACAAAATTCATGTCCAAGTTGGGCAGTGATGATGCTATCACGAGTATAATTTATTCAATAGCTCCAGCAACAGAACAGCAGCAGAGTCCTTGGCCTTTTTGACACTAGGCATAGGCTCTCCCACGCATTCATCTGTCCATCCCCTGTCTGTAGTATTTACCCGAACCGCAAAGGTAAACCTCTTTGCATGTGCAGGGCCACCCTCATTCACACACCTATGCATCCACAACAACTACTCCTTGTTACCAATATTGTTGTACATATTGGCAGGAACAAATTACAGAGATAAAAAGTTAAGTTTCCTCACCTGTAAAATGGCATCGGCCAATTTCTACGCAGACAAATATCATTTAAGGTTTGTCTGGTAAACGTTTGATTGCCATTCTTCTTCTTCTTCCCGTTGTTGTCTTCCATCTTTTCCTTGGCTTCATCCATTTCCTTATCCTTCAAAACAGCAAGCGCATTCCTCGCAGCTAGTTTCTGTGCCATCTTCTTCTGTGGATTCTGAGCAAATCCAATCTGGACCCCATCAATGAAAACTTCGACAGTGGCCAAATTCCCACTGCGAGTTGCTTTGTACTCCAGACCTTCTGCCTGTTGTTGGCATCGTTCTTGCAGCTCACGGACAGGATGCATCGGAAGTGTCTCGGGTGTAACCAATGGATGCAACAGTGGTTGAAATACCTGCAACATAAAAATATGTAGTGTAAAAGAACAGACGAAGTATTCATAATTTTTTGACCTTGATGAGAATGTTTAAATTGAGAGAGAAAGAGAAACCGACCCTCCAGACAGCGGCAGTGTCACGTCCACTATCGAGAAAAATAGCACCAGCAATGGATTCCACAATATCACCAAGAACTTTCGGAGCTTTACAGTCTCCCAAGCCAAAGGAGTTAAAACCAGGTTTTGATAATTCATCTTGAACTTCCTTCACGAAGTCCCTAATCTGCATACATGGTTGCTCATAGTTCATCGTTTATCAACTCAACCAATACGAGTCCTCCGTTTATGGAAAGGAAAGTCTTTTCGTTTCCATTTAAGCATTTCTAATAATTTATTTTACGAGTTCAATGTCATTCAGTCAGGCCAACAAATACTTCATAGTTCTAAAAATTAAGATAACATCTCGGTTTCATGAGATGATATAAAATCACTGTTGATTTTTATATTAGATAAAAGAAAGCTTATAATTTAAAATAGATTGAACTTGTAAAATTTGTAGTTCTCAAGATAAAGGAGGCACATGCTGCCTGGAATATATAACAGTAGTAAAAAAGGATTACATATGATACCTGCTTTTCAAGAGCACTTGACCCGTGCCTAAGATGAATATGGAGACTATGTTTAACAGCAACTCGTGCAAAATTTTCATTGTTTACAGCAGCAGCGCGCAAGTCAGTTAAACGACCTGGGGGTAGATCCGTGTATGTAAAGAACAAGTGCCTAGTGATCAGATGATCTAATACTGCGTCACCAACAAATTCCAACCGCTGATAACATGAAACTCCACAAGATGGTCGGGAAGCATGAGTTATAGCCTCTACCAGCAAACCACGGTCTTGAAACTTGATGTTCAAGGCACCCTCTAAAGCATCAAAATCAACACTTCGAAGAATGCTCTCTGGAAGATTAGATGGTCTTGTTGCACACTCGACCTCATCTGCATCAAATTCGACCTTAATCCCTATCCATCTCATAAGGTGGTTAGCAGCAATTTTTCCCCCTTCAACATAATAAACTCCAATGAGAGCTTCGACTACATCAGCAAGAGTTTTGCTAGAGAGGACTCTATAAGAACTAGAGTCACTTTCTACCTCTCTATCCTCCACCTCACCGTCCTCAAAAGCATCAAGATGGTGGTCCATCTCAATAACACCATCAGAATTTGATTTATCCTGATCAAAGAAGGATGATTCTCCATCCTTCGTATCTTCATCAAAGACAGGAAGCACACCAGGAGCAGCCCATCGAGATGGAGCAAAACGATCTGCTTGTATATAAGACTGGAGTCCTTTGCTCAATGCGTATTGATACAAGACCATGTTACTGACCATTTGTTGCCTCATTCTAGTAAGCTGGCCCTCGTGTTTTCTGGGGAATTTTAGAAAAAGGAACCGACTAACCACCCATTTTAGATAAGCATCTCCAAGCAGTTCTGCTCTTTCATAGCAGAACGTCTCCTGGCATGAGGCAGCAGTCAAAGCTTCCAATATCTGTAGGTAATAGAGCATACGTCAAAACGTTGGGGAAAAAGAAAAGGACCAAAATTTTTTCTCTTTCCTTTAATATTACCTTAGAGGAAGGAACAGGGTAGTTTATCATATGTTTTAACTGAATAGCAAGCAGCATGCTTTCAACTCTCCTCATAATAGACGGTAATCTCTGTGCACCACGAACAAGTGACCCAGGCAGTGGATGTACCAGACAGAGCTCCAGGGGGAGGTAAACGTAGTATGTTTTGTCAAGAGTTTCTTCAGATTCATCTTCATGACCTAATCAAACGAGGTGCTCCATTAGCCCAAAACTACAGGCAAATAAATAGCACAGAATGAGGAAGTATAGTAAAAAAAAGACGGCACACTTTCTGCATGTTCGAACCGAGGAGACAGGAAATTCTTGCAATATGAGACACCGCGTCCCCTTATTAAAGGCTGATGCTTATATACCAGTTCAACTCCATACCTGAATAAAGAAGACAAAATAGCCAAATGCAACCCTTTTGTTGTGCAAGAAAGGAAAGTTCTTCCATTCTGTAAAGCACTTCCACAACATTATAGTCTTCCAATACAG